AAACGGTGCAACATACAGACGCTCGACTTATGTTTATTCATGCATGCATGGTTGCCTGATCACCATTCACGCAAGCAGTAGCGGTAGCAGGCCAGCCGGCCATCCATTTTTTATTTTATTTTATTGTCACACATTGCATGGAGGGGAAATTCAAGTGCACTCTTGATGGCGTTGATCAACGCCGGTGCTAGTTATTACCGCCGGTGCCGGCGGCCTCGGTGCACTTGCGACCTGGGAAGCCGTTGTACCAGTCGTTGCAGACGTGGCGGAACGGGTTCAAGATGGACACCCTGCAGCTCTTGCAGGTCGCGGCGCACTGCTCGACCTCATCCACGCAGCGGCACATCGGCGGGTATGACCTGGTGCACACAGCCATGTCACAGCACTCCCACGGCTTCTCCTCCTCTGCCGCCGCCGCTACGGTCACTTGGAGGCCACCTTTGGCTTTGAGGGCGTCTTCGTTGTGGTCGCCGACGACGGTGTTGGTGCACTTGGGCCCGGGGTCGCCTAAGTACTGGTCTCCGCAGACGCGGCGGAATGGGTTTGAGATGGACGGCACGCAGGCCATGCAGGTGGAGGCGCACTCGTCGACCTCGTCCAGACAGATGCAGATAGGCGGCAAGGACCTGGTGCATATGGTGTTGTCGCAGCAATCCCATGGCCGGGAAGCCGCCGCCGTTCCTACTTGCTCTGCAAGCCCTCAACCAGCTGACGGCTGTGAGCATATATATGATGATAAGGTTGCACACATAAAAGAGTTCACGCGCACCGGCATGCACGCATACATCACCGTACCTTTGCCTTCGCTCGGCAGGAGAATGGTACCCACGTCGTTGGTGATAGCAACAGCGGAGGGGCGGCCGCCGACGAGGACGACGGCCTCGAGTGCAATCACATAAGCAGGATGCTAGGAATGATGTGCGTCTTCATCTTCATGGTTCCAGATTAGTCAGCTTTTGCCTCTTCGGCCGGCTTTACCAAATCTTGCTGTGCGTTTGAAGCTGGATAGCAGCCCGTATATATAGCCGTATGACACCGATCGATCACCGAACGCATCGCCCGTCCCCACAAGGTGCATCGACAACCAGGAACCAAAGTGTATTTCCCTGGCTTCACAGAGTACGTACTAACTCATGGATGCATGGATGCATGGATGCATGGTGTTGGGATATTGAATGGAGGACGACATGGCGCACAAGATGGACACGAGCAAGGTGGAGGCGCTGGGGTTCCCTCTCCATTCCTCTCCATCCAGCAGATGTCCGACGACTGCATCAAGAGCTTCGTTCCAGGACAAGACAAGGGTCTCCTCCTTCCTTGACCTTTTGACCACCATGGCATCGATAGGATATAAGCAAATTGATTAATAAAATCAGGTGCGTACGTACGTTACGCCGCGTCCTCACGCGCGCCTACTATGTATGTTTCTTCTTTTCTTTTCTTTTTTGATTTGAGGGGCGCGCGCGCACATGTTCCCGACCACGACCACACGAGACGATGAACGCGTCGAGTCTTTTTTCTTTCCTTTTCTTAGTCTTTTTTTTTCAGGGGAACTTTAGACTTTTCTTTGTGCGGATAGAAACACAGAGACTTTTTTTTTGGTACACATGCATCCGAAAGAAATAAAGAAAAGACATACCTAGGCAATTATTATACTAAAAAATAAAAAAATAATGAGGGGGAGGGGAGAAATTTAGAAACAAGACGCTCTATGCAACGATGTGGCAGTCAATGTCAACCTTGTACTACTAGTAGTATCCTGTCCTTGCTTGTGCGGGTTCCCTCTCCCTCAGAATCAGGAGACAAAACTGACAGATTGCGCATGCATCCCACCTCCACCGGAAGAAGAGGGAGCCGAGCTTGTTCCCCGATTCCGGCCGGCGGCCACTCCGCTCATCATGCAAAACGTGGCCGCCGGCGTGCTCATGCATCATCCCGTTTCGCCATTTGAATTTTCAACCAACCAACACAAGGAGCCCCGTCTCCTCCAATGAGGCCAGATCCATCAAGTTAAGCCCTTTTCTACGACGGCGATCGATCGATGAATTGCATGTGCGGCGTCAATGTCACAAACCCGCTTCCATGGATTGGGGGGAGGAGAGGACTGTTAGGCGTGAGGAGGAAGGAATGGGTCGTGAGAGAAATGGAGAAGCGAGACGACACATGGATCTCAGGAGTTGGGATGACGGTTGAAGGACACATATAAGTAATAAAAAAAATGGTCGACCAAGTGGCACTCGGCACCAGTTGATTTTAGGCGACGAACACGTTTTTGGGTTCGTACGTTTTTGGATCCGACTCCCGCGCGAACCGTGGCAATGTTTGGGCGTGGTGGCGGTCGATGAGTTCAAGTGAAAATATCTACGCAAGGGCTCCCTCCGATTCACCGGCAACTCGTGGGGGAGAGCTTAGAACCGATCCTCATCGTTCGAGCAATTTTACATCCGACGGTGCGGCTGATCGATCCGTGGGAGGCCTGGAGCGACCAATCAGAATCGAACGAGATGGGGCCCAACAAAACTAGTACTAGTACTAGAACCTCGTTTATTTCTCTTGGCACCAAGGAACCAACCAATCCCCCAAGCCCACCCGCCTCAGCCTCCACTCCCACCTCGCCGCCGCCGCCGCCGCGTCCACCTCACTGCCGTTCATGGCCTCCCCGACCTTCTCCTCCTCCCGTTCCCTCCCATCCCCTCATCAGAAGACAAGAGCCAAGCACATATTACAACCGGATAGAAAATACCACCCTTCGGAATGTATTTGGTTGGAGGCTGGTATAATACAGGTGTAAAAGATTACAGGGGTGGCATAAAAACTACATTCCAAGCGGGGCCTCAGTTCGAACCGGCTTACTGGACCAATGCCTACGTTGCCAATAAATATCACCAGGTTAGATATCTCCAACAATACATTTTCAGAAACAATACCATCAAACCTTGTAGCCCCAGGACTTAAAGTATTGTGTATGCATTCAAATAGTATTGGTGGCCACATTCCAGAATCTATTTGCAAATTGAAACAGTTGAGGTATCTGGATTCGTCGAACAATATTTTGGAGGGTGAAATTCCTCAATGTCCTGACATCCACAATATTGAATATCTTATACTCAGCAACAACAGTTTATCAGGAAAAATTCCAGGCGTTGTTAGAGAACAACACGCGTCTGCGGTTTTTGGATCTTGCATGGAATAATTTCTCTGGAAGAATACCTACATGGATAGGGAAGCTGGCCGATTTACGTTTTCTCATACTGAGCCACAATAAATTTCTGGTAATATTCCAGTCGACGTAACAAAGCTTGGGGATCTTCAATACATGGATCTATCAGGCAACAGGTTTTTTGGTGCAATACCTTGCCATCTGTCGAACCTAACATTTATGACAACATTACATGAGGAATACATGGATACCGATGACCTTGTTCTATTATATTTTAAAGAAACAAGGAGTTTTATTGGACCTCAAAAACTAGGACAAATATTGTTAGTAAATACAAAAGGGCAGCATCTTATATATCACAACCAACTTAAATATTTTGTGGGCATTGATTTATCATGTAACTCCTTGACTGGTGAAATTCCTAAAGACCTCACTTCACTTGATGCTCTAGTGAATTTTAATTTGTCATCAAACCAGTTGAGTGGACAAATTCCAAACATGATTGGCGCCATGCAGTCATTAGAATCACTCGACCTCTCTCGGAATAACCTTTCTGGTGAAATCCCATCGAGCTTGTCAAGTCTGACATCTCTGAGCTACCTGAACCTGTCCTACAACAGTTTGTCTGGAAGGATACCATCTGGCCACCAACTTGACACCCTCAATACTGAAAACCCGTCAATTATGTACATCGGCAACAATGGACTTTGTGGGCCTCCTGTCCATAAGAATTGTCCAGGAAATGATCCTTCCACTAGTAGCGATCTGGAAAGAAGCAAGGAAGAATTTGACCCACTGACCTTTTACTTTGGTCTTGTACTGGGATTTTTGATGGGGCTCTGGATGGTGTTTTGTGCACTGCTGTTCAAGAAGACATGGAGAGTTGCTTATTTCCGCCTCTTCGACAAGGTGTACGATCAAGTCTATGTATTTGTGGCTGTGAAGTGGGCAAGCTTCGGAAAGAACACAGATGCAGAATAAGCAATTATTCTGAAGGATGCAGTGTATGTGCTGCAACGCACTGAACGAGAGCTCTGGACTATTAACCAGGGTCCGATGACTAGACGAGGCCCACTAAAAATTACACTATAATACACTTTTCAACGAAAAGGTGTTTTTCTTTCTTTTTGAAGATAGCCAACTCTATTTAAAAAGTTCATCGGAAGTAAAAAAAAGCATCATAATAAACATAATAAAACCGTCAAGGTCCCTAGACCACCGAACTACTATTCCCGCCGTCAGAAGCCGTCGACGCGTGTGGAAGATCTTGAGCAGCATTTGTTATATTGTGTGCCTGGTTTGTACATCTATCTAAACAAAAATGAAGATGTCTAGCTCTTCTGATATATTTATAACTTTACCACTGTTGAACTATTGTGGTAAATGTAAGACTCTAAATATTGTTTGGCTGTTCCGATAGATGCAAGACTTTACTGTACTTCTGGGTTGTAGTAATGATCGGGGTCTTTCCCGGAATAATTAGAACATTTCGTGCAGTTACAACGAGCTAGTTTTTACTTTTTGCAAGATGGGTCGTATGGAGTAAATAAATTAGCTGTAGAAATCCCTGCAAAACTTCAGTTACAACTCTAATTTTCTGGAAGACATGGAGAAACTCTGTGATGTACTCTCTGACTGTCTGAAGGGTATGAATACAGTGTGTTTGGTCTTTATCTGGGTTGGGGTTGGACCGTGGTTTGTTTCATAGGCTCCAGGTTTTGTTTTGCAGCTTGAAATGTGTGCAGTAGAAAGGTTGTTCGCTGCGCAATCCTCACGTGTTAATATCAGTCAGCAGCAAGTGAAATTTGACAAGATTTGGACTTAAGCAAGTGTAAGTGGTTTTCTGAAATCTGAATGATGGGGAAACAGAGAAATACAGTAAGTAGTAAGAGAGATGATTGAAGAGGAATTAGCTAACCAGCAATTGCAAGGTGACGCCTCTGTATTGGGCTACATCGCGACGGAGCTCCAACGAGCTTTGTCTACTGTGTACGGCCCGGCCGGACTTGCTGTGTCCGGCGCGACGGTTGTCGTCACGTATCATGGGGCGCCCACGCGATCCGTAGATCAATCTTGATTGTCTTACCTTATCCTCCAATATATCTCGCAAGTCCGGAGCGTTCCCCTGTGGTCTTGTGCTTTTCGAGCGATGCCGGGGTACGGTTCTAGTGGAGGGCCTAGAGGCCTCTCTATCGCGGCCACGAGGTGGCCGGTCAGCCGTATTGTGCTCTGGTGATGTAGGTTTATATGCCTCCTCCTTTAATCGGGGGAGCAACTTGCGTTTGGGGTAGCTTTTGGAGGGGCGTTCGAGCTCATGCTCTTCGGCCGCAAGGACTTCAGTCCATCTGTCGGCTAGCAGATCTTGATCAGCTCTAAGCTGTTGCTGCTTTTTCTTGAGGCTGTTTGCCATGGCCATAAGCCTGCGTTTAAAACGCTCTTGTTCGACGGGATCCTCAGGCACGACAAATTCGTCGTCGTCGAGGCTTGCCTCGTCTTCGGAGGAAGGCATATAATTATCATCCTCTACCTCTTCGTCTGCCGCTCTCTCATGAGGGCTGGCTTCTCCGTCCTCCTGTGCTGAATCTTGCTGGAGGGGGTTGTCTTCGGCACTGTTTGGGGTATTATTCTCTCCGGTGCCGGAATCTCCATTCTTGCTGTGGCGGGATTTAGAGCGGCGCCGCTGACGCCGGCGCTTGGGCTGTTTCTTGGAGGGGTCTTCCTCTGCTGTTCCCTCGCCATTCCCATCCTTTGGGATATCCACCATGTATATGTCATATGACGAGGTGGCTTTCCAGTGCCCAGTAGGTGCTGGTTCTTGGTCGTCTCCGGCATCGTCGTCCATACCGTCGATGTCTTCGGAGTCGAAGTCTAGCATGTCGGTTAGATCGTCGACAATGGCTACTAAGTGGGTGGTGGGTGGGTCTTGAATTTCTTCGTCGTCCGCATCCCAACCGTCCTGACCGCAGTCCGGCTAGGGCTCTCCTGATAACGAGAGATACTTTAGCGAACTCAGGATGTCGCTGGAAGGTGAGTGTTGAAAGATGTCCGTAGCGGTGAACTCCATGATCGGCGCCCAATCGGATTCGATTGGAGGGGGCGTAGGAGGTTCGGAGTCCGGCACCTCGGAGTCACGAGCTTCACAAGGGACAAGGTCAGTATTCGGCTCTATCGCCGTAGAGGTTGCAGCCACCGAGGCGGTGTCTAACCACCCGTCCTCGATCTGCACAGCCGGCTCCGAATTGAGGGTCGGAGCAGACTCGTGCGCGGCCTCCAGGGCACTGTCCGGCAGCAGAGCTAAATCATGCCCATCGTGACAGTGCGGTGCGCTCGGCTGTGGCTCGAATCCATCGAAGATCAAGTCTCCGCGGATGTCAGCCGTGAAGTTCAGACTTCCAAATCTGACCTGACGGCCAGGGGCGTAGCTTTCGATCTGCTCCAGATGGCCAAACGAATTGGCCCGCAGTGAAAAGCCGCCGAATACGAAGATCTGTCCGGGGAGAAAAGTCTCACCCTGGACCGCGTCGTTGTTGATGATCGAAGGAGCCATCGAGCTTATCGGTGACGACACAGAGGAACTCTCAATGAAAGCACCAATGTCGGTGTCAAAACCGGCGGATCTCGGGTAGGGGGTCCCGAACTGTGTGTCTAGGCGGATGGTAACAGGAGACAAGGGACACGATGTTTTACCCAGGTTCGGGCCCTCTTGATGGAGGTAAAACCCTACGTCCTGCTTGATTAATATTGATGATGTGGGTATTACAAGAGTAGATCTACCACGAGATCAAGGAGGCTAAACCCTAGAAGCTAGCCTATGGTATGATTGTTGTTATGTCCTATGGACTAAAACCCTCCGGTTTATATAGACATCGGAGAGGGCTAGGGTTACACAGAGTCGGTTACAATGGTAGGAGATCTACATATCCGTATCGCCAAGCTTGCCTTCCACGCCAAGGAAAGTCCTATCCGGACACGGGACGAAGTCTTCAATCTTGTATCTTCATAGTCTTGGAGTCCGGCCGATGATGATAGTTCGGCTATCCGGACACCCCCTAGTCCAGGACTCCCTCAGCGTCGCTGCTACAGATGCAGGTCTCGTTCCCCAACTTCGTTCAGGCCCGTTGCAGGCTGATGCTGGAGGAAATCAACCTAGATGCACGTGCCCACACCGCGGGGACCACCGCCCTCATCGCCACCACCAGCGGCTCCTCCTCAGGCGCTGGTGGCTCGAGCACCGCTGGCTCAGGTGATCGCGGGGCACAACAGCAGCAATGCCAGGCAGATCGCTCCATACCCTCCGAACGCGAGGGGTGCGGCCGTGGACGTGGCCGCGGCCGTGGATGCGGCTACGACGGCCGTGGCGGGCCTCCAACCGCCTCCTGTCCATCGCAGCAGCCCTGGATGGGGTATTTCGCTCCGTGGAGCACCCCGTTCCCTCCCACTGGCCGCGCTCCCTGGGTGCCACCAAACACTGTGGGCGTGCTCGGTCCACGACCCGGCGTCCCGCACCAGGCCTACCCCATGGTCTACGGCGAGCCTCCGGCGTACGGCAGGACTCCACGTTGCGGCGTAGCACCATCCCCACCCCAGCTCGCCGCTCCACCACCACCCTCATGGGACCAGACGGGGCTGCTCCACACCGCCATGAACAACATGTCCCTGCAGCCAGCAGGCACCGAAGAGTGGTACCTCGACACGGGCGCCTCGAGCCACATCACCAACAACGCAGGTAACTTGAGCTTATCTTGTTTTTCTTCAGAGCACCCATCCATACTGGTAGGCGACGGTTCATATATGCCTGTTCTGGCCACCGGCACCGCATCCCTCCCACCCCACCCATTCTCTCTCAATCATGTTCTTTTCTCCCCTTCCGTCATTAAGAACCTTCTCTCTGTTTGAAAATTTACCACTGACAATTCTGTTTCTGTCGAGTTTGACCCTCATGGCTTTATTGTGAAGGATCTGGCGACCAGGCACCCCTCATGAGGTCAAATAGCTCCACCGGCCTTTACCCGTTCTATGGCGAGTCACCTACCGCTCTCACCGTCAATGTGGGCGACCTGTGGCATCGGCGCTTAGGGCATCCTAGCCGCGCCTCCTTATCTAGTTTAGCTAAAGATTTCCTTACATGTACCTCCAGCATTCCTCCCCCCGCCACTTGTGAGGCTTGCCAGCTAGGGCGGCAGCCACGACTACCTTTCCCTACCTCTAGTACATTTACTACTTCTCTATTTCATCCATAGTGACTTGTGGACATCACCGGTTCCTAGTTGTTCCGGCTATGCATATTATTTAAGCATAGTTGATGATTTTAGCCATTACTCATGGAGCTTCCCCCTACGTCACAAATCTGATGCAGCTGACGTTCTCATACGCTTTCATGCCTATGTGCTCACGCCGTTTCATCTTTGCATTCAATGTATTCAGTGTGACAACGGGGGTGAATTCCTCAACGTTCGTCTACACTCCTTCCTCTCTGAGAACGGCATCTCTCTCCATCTCTCCTGCACACATTGTATTAATTTGGCTACTTTCATTCAATGATGGGGAAACAGGAAACAAATTCAGAGAGATGATTGAAGAGGAATTACGTGTGGCGCTCCTGTTTCCTCCTCAAGATCGGCGCGTGGATCCCCGCGGTTCTACCGCACCCACCGGCCATGGTGCGTCCAGGCGCCTCGCCTCGATTGGCAGCGTCATGCCGTCGTCCTTGCAGCTGGTTCCTATCCTCGGGCTCGACGTTGCCTTTGTCAAGTGCGGTCTTGGGGTGACGCTACTAGCAGCCCGCAGGCGAGAGCGTGGTGAGCTGGCCCAGTACGGCGTCTGCCTAGATTTTCTGATTTGAAAATTTTGATTTACAAAAATCTGTATATTTCATTTTTTTAATAAAATGTGTTTGTTGGTTTAATTTTTTAACAGTTTTTAAAAATACACATAAATTAGAAAACCATGATATTTAGATTGGCTATAGCGGGCATGTACAA